ATTACTAGATATAGGGTAGTCTGGTATATATATAAGAGGGTAACAACGTGACGGGACCATAATGTGTGTGTAGGTAGTGAGTAATTGATCTGCAGTGAGAAAGTATTGTTGAGGTAACGTTCGTTATAGCGTTTGTTTTAGCGCGACTGTTGAAATCAAGTGTATCGTGAAGTTATATTCGGAAAGAATAAACCAATTTTATTAAGTAAGGACTTGTGTCGCTAGTTTCATCGGAACGAATTTACGGAAATCAATTAACAAACGGAGACGTAACAGGGTGAATACTTTTGCAAGGCACTGTAAACGAAAACATGCAAATAAAAAGGAAATGTTGCTTATAGAAGCATATACGGTTCTATTATTCGGTTTAAAAGGGTAGTACAAAAAACACAGTATAATATTTGTGATACATCACAGCTTTAAAGTTATATCCTTATTTATGATTCCTTTTTTATTTATAAAAGTTAGTTTCTTTTAGTTGGTTTTTTTTGCGCGATGTGGTATGAATATTTTTGCCTGTTTATGCAACAGGGGGCGGGTATTGTTGTGACTGACTGAATTTGAGCGATATAGTATGGTAAGTTACCATTTATTATCACTAAGTAATAAGTATGCGCATTTAAATTATCAACAAAATACATAGAGTGGGGCTGTACCGTCGATTCAAACCTCTCTTTACCCTCAATTCAAGTTCAAATTCTATCCATAGGTACTGGCACCGTTGTACAAGTGCTCTTGCAGTAGCAATATACCACGAACGTGTTGTTATAATTTAGATTATTACTTAGGTTTATGTGTTCTGTCTCTGATAAGAGTTCTTTTGGACTTGGTAAAAATAATGCTAAGTCCAGTCCATGTAACGATAACAAATGAGTTTATTTCTTCAATAATGTTTCTAAAATTTGGAAGACACTTTCTCTTTGACACAACTTCTGTCACAAGTTGTAGGCCCAAATCCACAAATAGTTTCATGTACAAGTAGCTTCATGTACTAATGTTTAATAACTTATAATTAGCAACGGAAGGGTCTTGATTCTATATTTTCTGACTTGTTAAAAAATAATGCTAAGTTCACTCCCCATGGTGATAATGCATTATTTCTTTTAGAATATTTCTACAAGCTACATTCGCTTTGACCTAAGTTGTAGGCCAAAGTTCACAGATAAAATTTTAACAGAAATTCCTTGCTAATAGTACTCACCAGTAAACTTAATTGTACATTTCCACAGCTAATCAATCAAGTAACTGAATATATGCTGTAACTTTCATTACCAATACTTATCTGAATCACTTACTTATTACACAACGAATGCTTCACTAACTTCTTAATTCAAGTCTTTACTTATTCCTGTATCTTTAATGAAAACCATGAAAACCTTCTTGATTATTATATCATAATGAATTTTCTAGATATTGCATCATCACCATGATTAGCAGCTTCTTTTATCAAACATATAAGTTAAAATATTGAAAATATAGCTTACAACATTATTTTAGTGAGTTATTGTCTTAGTCTTACATTATAAGTTATTAATTGAAACCGCAATCTCTTACTTATAGCTATATAGACCATTAACTTCCTAGGAAATTTTTTTTTTTACTTGAATGACTGATAACAAGTGGCAGGCTCTATATGATGGATATTTAATGTGTGTGTTATTACAAATTTATTACACATGACCTATAAGATGTTATTGTTACTATGTTAAAATCTAAATACCAGGAATGGGTTATGTTTGAAAGTTCTGGGCTTGTGTTATTCAGTATGCTGAGAAAGACACTAGTACATTACTTAGAGCTTGCTAACTTAAGGTTAAATTTAAAATAGATTTTGGGAAGACTGCACTATTAGAACATGGAAGATAATAGGGTTGGAGCAGAAATTAATGAAGTAAGAAAGGAATTGGATGCCGTTAGAGTAAAGGTTGCTTTAATGGAGGTAGAGAATGTGGGTATTGAGCTTATAAGTATGTACAGTAGTAAAAAAGTTAAAACTGTAGGGAGAAGTTCAATTAGCATTAAGGTTCCAGTCTTTACTAGAATTGAACCATTGGCTGTATGCACTGAGTAACAAAATGAATAGGAAATTTATATACTAGGGAACTCTCATGAAGTGTGTGGATAAAATTATTTGCAGTGAGAAGCACAGAAAGACTAGGACAAGAATGAAGGCTGAAACAAAAAAGGGTTATTGGGGATATTCTTAGAATAACAGGTGGGCTAGTTGGACCAGTGTCATAATTTTTGGGTAAGAGTGAAGTAAATGCTAGAGATGAGCTACTGTTAAGCAGGCTAGGAAGTAAGATATTTGGAGAAGCTTTAAATGTATTCAATAAAGATAGTTAGTGGTGAGGGAGCTTGAGAAATTGGGAATGCTAGAGCAACAAAGAGTTGTGAAGAGGAGAGGTCAGAGCATTTCTTGTTAATTAATGGTTCAAAAGAGGGCTTGGTGAGCACTCTGATATAGGCAGATGGGTGTTTGAAATGAATGGGATAACCATGATGGACCAAGGGGTAACCTGTTTCCCTCATATGTTACGAGTCTCACAGATTTAACTTTTTATGATAAATAATGTAGGATCAAGAATAAACATTGTTGTTATTATTCTAATTTATGATATAACAATATAAATGGAACATAATATAGATGAGTTCAGGGCTCCAGTTGAAGTGGAAGACTATGATATAATGGAAATTGCTGAAACTAGGTTAGATTTGAAAAATTTGACAAGAGAAATTATTTGTATATTCCAGGTTATAAGATATTTAATAGTGATAAACTTTTTAAGAGAGGGTATGGGGTAGCTTTTTATTTAAGGTATGATATGTATATCCTGTTAAGATTAAAACAAATAATGGTAGTCAAAAGGTTGAATCTATATAGGTTATAATGAGGAGTTTTAAGGATAGTAGGTTTTTAACTGGCAATGGTATAGGCTAATTGATCAGACTGAAGAGGTAAAGAATTAATTACATTGTGAGATCCTGGTTTATACTAATAAGAATACTGGTACAATAATTACGAGATTCTTAGATTTTAGGCATAATGATTTGGACTGTGTGGAATCAAATGGTGAGGGAGAGAGATTTAGCGATATGATTGAGGATGGTTTTCTGTAACAAATGGTTAGAGAGACAACCAGGGAAAAAGCCATTTTAGATTATTTGTTAACCACTTATGAGGATATGATATTTGGGGAAGAATGCTCATTGGATAATTAGGATTGATATTTCGAAACATGTTGAGATAATAATTTTGATTCTTAATTTTCAAAAAATTCATTTTGAGGCCATTATACAAGATTTATTATTAATGAATTAAGCTAATGGGTTAAAATTCAGGTGAGAAAGATTTTGGAAAATAATGAAAAATAAATAGCTTTTATTTCAAGATATACTTATTTCTAAAGAGGGGAAAAGGATAACAAGGAAGATCAAACCTAACTAAGGACATAAAAGAGAAAATCAGGGATATTTGTCATGAGTTTAAGAAGTTTAAATTTTACAGATAGGATGGGAGATTTATAGTACTATCAGAAGGTTATGGTTAAGGTTAAAAAAGTAATTATCAAATCCAAATGGGCATTGAGAAACAGCTCTCAATGTTAAAACTGTGATATATTCTGGTGAAACTGATTATTCCTAGAGCAATGGGGTAGGTCCTCTGAATAAAAGATCTGATAAGATATCTATTACAGAGCAGAAACAATACAGAAACATAGGGTATTGTCACTTCTACTGGATTAGAACTCTTCTTCCTCTAAACTGTACTTGTTGAAAAATTTTACCAGACTCTATAAGTCTAATGTTCGTTACTTTAACATCAGATTTACTCAGAGATACTAGAGCTACTGACATCACTAGTTATTCTCATTCAAACATAAGGGAGGCTGTACTCTTGAGGTATCACCTGACTTAATGTTGGAGGACACAGCTGTGTACATTCTTGTGCAGCATTACAGCTTTACTACCTATGTGCAGAACAATTGTTATCTCCAGAAAATGACAAAGGAACAAAGGTAGCTACAAAAAGTCCACCTAACAACTTTTTTGGCCATGTGTTAAATGAAAACGGCACATATACAGAATAACAGATTATTATCCAAAAATATTTATTAAAATAAGAGTAAAGAAATGCATGGCATGTTAGATACAATACTTTTTCTCCCTCATTTATTTCAGGGCTTGTCTTCAAGCCAATATTAAACTTAATTTTAAAACCAATAAAAGCTACATGCATATTGGTCAGGGAGTATTTAACTTTCTCTCTCTCTCTCTCTCCTGTAAACTATTATACACATTGCAGGCAACACAAGACTAATCAAAATTTCACATGATAAAATTACTTTTTAACATTGATGTTGCAATAACTGAGAAATCCTTAAAACAATGAAAATCAATACATAATCACAGACCCTTTAACAGTGATGTTGTGCAATCCAATTGAAATTCAATACAGTAAAGAATAACAAAAATTACATTTCCACAGTATAATGCAAGTTCTTTAACAAAAAAAACAACAACAACTAAACCATTTAACAATGAAATAAAATTCACTGGTTACATTATAAAAATTCAAAGAATTCACATTTAAATTGCACATCAGAAAAATAACCTTTAACATTGATAAGTTACTGCAATAACATAATTTACAATGATGATCATTAACATCCATTATACAATACATAACAGTATCACAATTACAATTTATAAAAACACAGAATATAAAATCAAATTTCGATACATAGTACAACATGTGGACTTCTCCAGACACTTTCATATCTCATTACCTTCATGATCTAGCAGTTTCCTCTTCATTGGAATTTTGTCTACCCCCTGTTGCTGTGTTAACTACCTCTGCTAGATTTTAATGAGGTGAGTAACTTTCTTACCTGAGTTGCAGTTTTTTTTTTCCTTTTCTTCTAGGGTTCCTCTTTATTTCTTTCGGATCCAACTCAGTGGCGAGTGTTGCCCAGTCAGGTATGCTTGTATTTTAAATTCCGCACTAGCAACCTTTTTATCGGTTCTTGGTTGCAATGAGCTATGTTGAGATGAGGTGTTCCATAAGACCATCTGGATGCAATTCAAGATGATGATATTATATCAAAGTATCCAATGGACTGCTACTCATGGACTATCATGAGTAAAGCTAAAGGGGATTTTACCATTCCCTGCTGATATTAGAGATGTATCAGTTTGTCTTTAAAAACTTGGAGAACCTGATTCACCTGTTGCACTGTCTCCAGAGACCTGTTCCTCGGGACTCTCCACCACACATGTCCCCCCTTACTTCTGCTAGTGGAGCTAGGGAGTCCTTACCACACCCAGTTCCCAGTCTCTGGGGTGGTGGACAGAAGATTTTCCTTCAAAGTGTCAAGTTTTCTCCACTCTCGGAGAAGAGGGTGAAGTTGGGGACCCTCCTACCTTAGTCCCTGGAAATTGTTTTTCAGATGTCAGTAAAAGTAGAACTGACTTATGTGGGAGCCTATTCACAAAACCGGTCCAGATTTGATGCTTAGCTATCTGGTGGGGGTGTGCATGGACCCTCTTATGAACACTGTCAGGTCTTAGGTTGTT